TGATGAGTGTCCAACAGTGCTCCGATGAATTTCTGAGTCAGTATTAGTTTCGATTTCGCAATGTTCAACAGCCACCCTAACTGTCTAAGCAGCGTGGTGGTGAACTGTAGCTGGCGAAGCAATACGATCAGATCCTGTTGAGCCTGGATGCAATCGTCTATGTAGCTTTCGAAGGTGAGCCCTTGAAAGTGGAGGAAGCTCGTTATGGGCTTGGTACTTCAGGTAAAAAGCCACGGGGCCGTGGAAATTCCAAATGGTAGGACTTTCCATTGGTAGTGATTCCTATCGAACACGAAGCGAAGGTACTTCCGGTGTTCTGGATGTATCGGAACGTGAAGATAAGCATCCTGAAGATCTAGGCTGATGAGGAAATCTCCCTTCTTCAGGATGGTGCATAAAAGGTTGATCGACACCATCCTGAAGTGAGGCGGTGGAAGCAGGAATTGGGCATTGAACAACTTCATATTCAATATGAGCCGGAGTTTGTTGGAATATTTCTTTGGAACCAAGAAGATGGGGCAGTAGAATCCTGGAGTGACGGGCGATGGACCTAGGAGCTCTATCGCGAGTTTGTCTAATAGCGTACCTATTGTGGATTGCAGAGTCTGAAGCTGGTCCACAGGATATGAGCGATGAGCCGGATGGGACGTCAGAGGTTGACTGCCAATAACGGTTGGTAGCTGATAGCCGTGAAGTAGCAGGTTGGTGACGTACGGATCTTTGAGGATGGTCCAATTTGGGGCAAAGATCTGCAATCTCTCGCCTACCGGAGTGCTGTAATTCGGAACGACTGGGGGACGGGAGGACGGGAGGAACCACCACGACCAGATCTGTTTCCTCTGCCACGGCTTTGAGTGGATGCACCACGGAAAAAGATTACATAAATCCAGATTGGTAGGGGTGAACTGTGCAGTTCGACGCTGTTTTAATGAGTCCTGGAGCTGTGACTTCTGTATCTTTAACAGTTCAATCGACACTTGAAAGTAGGTTTCTTAATCAACTTTATTAGATACTTCTTGGATGCTACCATTGAAGAGGGAGTCACTAAACCAAGGCTGGCGAAACAGTTCTGTTGTAAATCGCTCCTCCCATGAAGAGATGTTAAGGGGTCCACGTGAACGAAACAGCAAGAGTGTAGCCCAAAAAAATGAGACAACTGATCCAGGATAATTTGGAACTGGTCCAGAGCTAAAGTCATGTATCCTCGGATGTAAGCGTCTTGATCAGAGTAAGTATGCTCCAGAGCAGTGTTAACAGCGTCAACTGCTGCAATCAAGCAACTAATAGATGGCAATGTCTTTCTCACGGCTGAATCCATGTGAGCCAACTCTCGGTCCTCAATAAGGTAGGGCGAAGCAGATCGTTTGCCACACAGGGTTCCAATATCCTCATCAACTGTTGGAGCCGTAGAGATTTTTGTGAGGCAGTCACTTGGACATGAAAGGTAGAAGGATTATATCTGGGAGCAGAGAATCCGTCCTTAATTCGTATCAGGCTCTTGAAACCATTATCTACTTCGATGTGATCTGGATCGGTTCGGTGATCTGGATCTGTCAGGTGATCTGATTCCGAAGTTGTGATCTGGACCCGTTTGGTGATCTGGATCGGTTAGGTGATCTGGATTGATCAGGTGATGTGGATCGTAGTTGTGCTCTGAATCGTGACTGTGATCTGGAGAGGCACGGTGATCTAAATTGGGCTAGTGATGGTGATCAGGATCATGAAGGTGATCTAGATCGTTGTGGTGATCTAGAATGATGTGGCGATCTGGATCGGCGAGTAGGTGACGAAACCTGAAGTGTTGATTCATGATGAACGTCCCCCGGCGACGCTGTTGTAGCCAGCTCCGTCCGGTTCAATGAACTGTGGGGAGACAGTTGGCTGGTTGAACGCGGTTGGCCAGGCTCAAACAAACTGAGACAGTCGAGGGGATATGTACCAATGACCTGGATGATGATAGTGTCGATCTAAGGTCCCCTGGTAGTGTAGATGGGACAGGGAACACAGAATTATCAATCACAACCACCCGCGAGTGATGTGACGCTATGGAAGGAGGTGATTGATGCGTAGGTAATAGGTGCCGAATGTCCTCAGATAAGTAAGAATCTGATTAAGCGTCCATAAAATCCTCTTGAACCACAGACGTCGCTCTCTTGCGTCCCTATCGGCGATTCTCCGGCAAACACGAAGGTAGGCCTTAAAATCCTCATCTTTTAGTGAATTACACTTGCCACATCGTTTGTTCCAGTTACATTGTCCAATACAGTCACTGCAAGACGAGTGAGGGTCGAGGGACGAATAATTCATCTTGCATTGAGCACAAACTTTTCTTTTCCTTGACTGATTATCAGTTTTCCCCATGATGTTAGGGTGACATAATGTCCCTAATATACAGCACATCCACACAGTCGTGCGACAAGAAAGAGAATGATCATTCAAGGTAGTCACGTTGGCAATTAGTGGAGCATGCTGCAACCTTTATTAGGAACTATGGAGCTAATTAAGGAGAGCAGCATGGAGTGCACGGGCGATTGGACAAGGAGGCCTATGGAAAAAAGTTTACAGTCGTTCCACTAAAAGTCGAAGCAAGAGAGAGAGGTGCAAGTCGTGAGATAGGAAAAGTTTAAAAATATTGAGTTGTGGCGACCCCCTTCAGTACAGACATGGAGTCATGGTGACCCCCTTCAGTACAGACATGGAGTCATGGTGACCCCCTTCATGACAGACATGGAGTCATGGCGACCCCCTTCAGTACAGACATGGAGTCATGGTGACCCCCTTCATGACAGACATGGAGACATGGCGACCCCCTTCAGTACAGACATGGAGACATGGTGACCCCCTTCAGTACAGACATGGAGACATGGCGACCCCCTTCAGTACAGACATGGAGTCATGGTGACCCCCTTCAGTACAGACATGGAGTCATGGTGACCCCCTTCATGACAGATATGGAGTCATGGTGACCCCCTTCAGTACAGACATGGAGACATGGCAACCCCTTCAGTACAGACATGGAGTCATGGTGACCCCCTTCACTACAGACATGGAGACATGGCAGCCCCCTTCAGTACAGATATGGAGTCATGGTGACCCCTTCAGTACAGACATGGAGACATGGCAAGCCCCTTCATGACAGATATGGAGTCATGGTGACCCCTTCAGTACAGACATGGAGACATGGCAACCCCCTTCAGTACAGATATGGAGTCATGGTGACCCCCTTCAGTACAGACATGGAGTCATGGTGACCCCCTTCAGTACACACATGGAGTCATGGTGACCCCCTTCAGTACAGACATGGAGTCATGGTGACCCCCTTCAGTACAGACATGGAGACATGGTGACCCCCTTCAGTACAGACATGGAGACATGGTGACCCCCTTCAGTACAGACATGGAGACATGGCGACCCCCTTCAGTACAGACATGGAGTCATGGTGACCCCCTTCAGTACAGACATGGAGTCATGGTGACCCCCTTCATGACAGATATGGAATCATGGTGACCCCCTTCAGTACACAGATGAGTCATGGTGACCCCCTTCAGTACACACATGGAGTCATGGTGACCCCTTCAGTACAGACATGGAGTCATGGTGACCCCCTTAAGTACACACACGAGAGTCATGGTGACCCCCTTCAGTACAGACATGGAGTCATGGTGACCCCCTTCAGTACAGACATGGAGTCATGGTGACCCCCTTCAGTACACACATGGAGTCATGGTGACCCCCTTCAGTACAGACATGGAGTCATGGTGACCCCCTTCAGTACAGACATGGAGTCATGGTGACCCCTTTAAGAAGTACACACACGAGTCATGGTGACCCCCTTCAGTACAGACATGGAGTCATGGTGACCCCCTTCATGACAGATATGGAATCATGGTGACCCCCTTCAGTACACAGATGAGTCATGGTGACCCCTTCAGTACAGACATGGAGTCATGGTGACCCCCTTCAGTACAGACATGGAGTCATGGTGACCCCCTTAAGTACACACCACGAGTCATGGTGACCCCCTTCAGTACAGACATGGAGTCATGGTGACCCCTTCAGTACAGACATGGAGTCATGGTGACCCCCTTCAGTACACACATGGAGTCATGGTGACCCCTTCAGTACAGACATGGAGTCATGGTGACCCCCTTAAGAAAGTACACACCGCGAGTCATGGTGACCCCTTCAGTACAGACATGGAGTCATGGCGACCCCTTCAGTACAGACATGGAGTCATGGTGACCCCTTCAGTACAGACATGGAGTCATGGTGACCCCTTCAGTACAGACATGGAGTCATGGTGACCCCCTTCATGACAGATATGGAGTCATGGTGACCCCCTTCAGTACAGACATGGAGACATGGCAACCCCCTTCAGTACAGACATGGAGTCATGGTGACCCCCTTCAGTACAGACATGGAGACATGGCAACCCCCTTCAGTACAGATATGGAGTCATGGTGACCCCCTTCAGTACAGACATGGAGACATGGCAACCCCTTCATGACAGATATGGAGTCATGGTGACCCCTTCAGTACAGACATGGAGACATGGCAACCCCTTCAGTACAGATATGGAGTCATGGTGACCCCTTCAGTACAGACATGGAGTCATGGTGACCCCCTTCAGTACAGACATGGAGTCATGGTGACCCCCTTCAGTACACACATGGAATCATGGTGACCCCCTTCATGACAGATATGGAATCATGGTGACCCCCTTCAGTACACAGATGAGTCATGGTGACCCCCTTCAGTACACACGAGTCATGGTGACCCCCTTCAGTACACACATGAGTCATGGTGACCCCTTCAGTACACACATGGAGTCATGGTGACCCCCTTCAGTACAGACGAGTTATGGTGACCCCCTTCATGACAGATATGGAATCATGGTGACCCCCTTCAGTACACACATGGAGTCATGGTGACCCCCTTCAGTACACACATGGAATCATTGTGTCCACTGAAAATCGAAAATATAAGCTGAGGTGCCTTACATGATTCGTGGCACTGTTTATGACAGGCAGGGGCATCCGCTTGAGATTGGGTTTCTGGCTCCAGAACAGTGGGATGGAGCCCCGAGTCTGAAAACACAGTAAAAACAAAGTGAAACGGAGTCACCAGTGTAACTCATACTTACTAAGACCATGACAATTACAGTAACATCAGTCGGAGAATCTAGTAACACAGTGACATTGAGCCTGAATATGCCTGTACAGACGCATCAGGGTCGCTTTGTGTCAGTAGAAAAAAATGAGTAAATGTGATCCCCAATCTTAAAAAACTTATAGATGGTACCAATTTTCAAAAGTCAATCTTGATAACTGTTTCTTAATAGTTTCATTTATGTTATGTAAGAAATGCCTGTTAAAGGACACAAACCCCATTCCGTACCTTTGCTAAAACACAAGACATGATAAACAGTGTAACCCTTACACTGGCCCTACAGACATGATAAACAGTGTAACCCTTACACTGGTCCGACAGACATGATAAACAGCGTAACCCTTACACTGGCCCTACAGACATGATAAACAGCATAACCCTTACACTGGCCCTACAGACATGATAAACAGCATAACCCTTACACTGGCCCTACAGGCATGATGAACAGCGTAACCCTTACACTGGCCCTACAGACATGATAAACAGTGTAACCCTTACACTGGCCCTACAGACATGATAAACGGCATCACCCTTACACTGGCCCGACAGACATGATAATAATAATAATAAATGTGCATTTATAATGCGCGCAATCCAGACAGATATGCCTGCTCAAGGCGCTACAATGGGAATGTATAAAGATAAAAGTCAGGGAGTGTTGAGTGGAGTTAAATGTCACTATGATACTTGGAGAACATATGGGTCTTTAGTCTTGATTTGAATTTCTCAAAAGTTGGACACAGTTTCAACTCTGATGGAAGTGAGTTCCAGAGGATAGGGGCAGTGCTGGAGAAGGATCTGGAGCCAAATGTCTTCAGTCGATATTTAGGAACTTGGAGGAGATTTTGGTCACTTGATCGGAGTTTACGTGCTGGAGTATGTGGAGTCAAGAGTTCAGATAGATAGTCAGGGCTGGTGTTATGGAGGCATCGATATGTGATACAGAGAAGCTTGAACTCTATTCTAGCTTTTACTGGCAACCAGTGGAGGTCTCTGAGCACTGGTGTCATGTGCACGTGTCTTGGTGTTCTTGTGATGACCCGTGCAGCAGAATTTTGCAGCACCTGTAGCTTAGATAGCAGTTTACCACTGATGCCCTGAAGCAAACTGTTGCAGTAATCTAGTCTTGATGTTATTAGACCATGGGCAAGTACCTTTGCAGCTTCTGCGGTTATTAAGTGTCGAATGTTGCTGATGGATCGGAGATGATAATAACAGGTTCTACTGATGTGGGTAACCTGTTTCTCCATGGAGAGGTGTGAGTCCAGAAATACTCCCAGATCTTTAAGGTGGTCACTGAGAACTATTTCCGTGTCCGCTATCAGAATGGATTGTTCTTCTACTCTGGACAACTGTTGCTTAGTGCCAATCAGCATCACCTCTGTTTTTTCTTCGTTCAGTTTCAGCTTATTTGCTGTCATCCATGACTTTGTTCTTGCGCATACAATCAGATATGCGTTGGAAGGAAACCTGAAGGTTATTGAGTTTGAATTTGTCCATCATTTGTGTATCGTCAGCATATCCATGGTGAAGAAGCTTGAAGTGTTGGATGATGTTAGCCAGATTTGCCGTGTACAGCGTGAAGAGTATCGGACCTAAAACAGATCCTTGTGGAACACCACAGTGTAGTTTGACGAAATCGGATTTTTCATTGCCGATGATGACTGCTTGTCTACGATCTTCCAAGTAGGATGAAAACCACTTGTGGCAGTTACCACGGATGCCAGATTCAACTAAAAGACGGCTTAGGAGAACTTCATGGTCGATGGTATCAAATATCGATAAACAGCGTAACCCTGACACTGCCCCTACAGACATGATAAACAGCGTAACCCTTACACTGGCCCTACAGACATGATAAACAGCGTAACCCTTACACTGGCCCTACAGACATGATAAACAGCGTAACCCTTACACTGCCCCTACAGACATGATAAACAGCGTAACCCTTACACTGGCCCTACAGACATGATAAACAGCGTAACCCTTACACTGGCCCTACAGACATGATAAACGGCGTAACCCTTACACTGACCCTACAGACATGATAAACAGTGTAACCCTTACACTGGCCCTACAGACATGATAAACAGCGTAACCCTTACACTGGCCCTACAGACATGATAAACAGCATAACCCTTACACTGGCCCTACAGACATGATAAACAGTGTAACCCTTACACTGGCCCTACAGACATGATAAACAGCATAACCCTTACACTGGCCCTACAGACATGATAAACAGCATAACCCTTACACTGCCCCTACAGACATGATAAACAGTGTAACCCTTACACTGGCCCTACAGACATGATAAACAGCGTTACCCTTACACTGCCCCTTCATACATGATAAACAGCGTAACCCTTACACTGGCCCTACAGACATGATAAACAGCGTAACCCTGACACTGCCCCTACAGACATGATAAACAGCGTAACCCTTACACTGGCCCTACAGACATGATAAACAGCGTAACCCTGACACTGCCCCTACAGACATGATAAACAGCGTAACCCTTACACTGGCCCTACAGACATGATAAACAGCGTAACCCTTACACTGCCCCTACAGACATGATAAACAGCGTAACCCTTACACTGCCCCTACAGACATGATAAACAGCATAACCCTTACACTGGCCCTACAGGCATGATGAACAGCGTAACCCTTACACTGGCCCTACAGACATGATAAACAGTGTAACCCTTACACTGGCCCTACAGACATGATAAACGGCATCACCCTTACACTGGCCCTACAGACATGATAAACAGCGTAACCCTGACACTGCCCCTACAGACATGATAAACAGCGTAACCCTTACACTGGCCCTACAGACATGATAAACAGCGTAACCCTTACACTGGCCCTACAGACATGATAAACAGCGTAACCCTTACACTGGCCCTACAGACATGATAAACAGCGTAACCCTTACACTGACCCTACAGACATGATAAACAGTGTAACCCTTACACTGGCCCTACAGACATCATAAACAGCATAACCCTTACACTGGCCCTACAGACATGATAAACAGCATAACCCTTACACTGGCCCTACAGACATGATAAACAGTGTAACCCTTACACTGGCCCTACAGACATGATAAACAGCATAACCCTTACACTGGCCCTACAGACATGATAAACAGCATAACCCTTACACTGCCCCTATAGACATGATAAACAGTGTAACCCTTACACTGGCCCTACAGACATGATAAACAGCGTTACCCTTACACTGCCCCTTCATACATGATAAACAGCGTAACCCTTACACTGGCCCTACAGACATGATAAACAGCGTAACCCTGACACTGCCCCTACAGACATGATAAACAGCGTAACCTTACACACTGGCCCTACAGACATGATAAACAGTGTAACCCTGACACTGCCCCTACAGACATGATAAACAGCGTAACCCTTACACTGCCCCTACAGACATGATAAACAGCATAACCCTTACACTGGCCCTACAGGCATGATGAACAGCGTAACCCTTACACTGGCCCTACAGACATGATAAACAGTGTAACCCTTACACTGGCCCTACAGACATGATAAACGGCATCACCCTTACACTGGCCCGACAGACATGATAAACAGCGTAACCCTGACACTGCCCTACAGACATGATAAACAGCGTAACCCTTACACTGGCCCTACAGACATGATAAACAGCGTAACCCTTACACTGGCCCTACAGACATGATAAACAGCGTAACCCTGACACTGCCCTACAGACATGATAAACAGCGTAACCCTGACACTGCCCCTACAGACATGATAAACAGCGTAACCCTTACACTGGCCCTACAGACATGATAAACAGCATCACCCTTACACTGGCCCAACAGACATGATAAACAGCATAACCCTTACACTGGCCCTACATACATGATAAACAGCGTAACCCTTACACTGGCCCTACAGACATGATAAACAGCGTTACCCTTACACTGGCCCTACAGACATGATAAACGGCATCACCCTTACACTGGCCCTACAGACATGATAAACAGCGTAACCCTGACACTGGCCCTACAGACATGATAAACAGCGTAACCCTTACACTGGCCCTACAGACATGATAAACAGCGTAACCCTTACACTGGCCCTACAGACATGATAAACAGCGTAACCCTTACACTGGCCCTACAGACATGATAAACAGCGTTACCCTTACACTGCCCCCTTCATACATGATAAACAGTGTAACCCTTACACTGAAATCCTTTACACTGCCCTACAGACATGATAAACAAGCGTAACCCTTACACTGGCCCTTCAGACATGATAAACAGCATAACCCTTACACTGCCCTGCAGACATGATAAACAAGCGTAAACCCTTACACTGCCCTTACAGACATGATAAACAGTGTAACCCTTACACTGGCCCTACAGACATGATAAACAGCGTAACCCTTACACTGGCCCTACAGACATGATAAACAGCGTAACCCTTACACTGCCCCTTCATACATGATAAACAGTGTAACCCTTACACTGGCCCTACAGACATGATAAACAGCGTAACCCTTACACTGGCCCTTCAGACATGATAAACAGCATAACCCTTACACTGCCCCTGCAGACATGATAAACAGCATCACCCTTACACTGCCCCTACAGACATGATAAACAGTGTAACCCTTACACTGCCCCTACAGACATGATAAACAGCATAACCCTTACACTGGCCCTACAGACATGATAAACAGCGTAACCCTTACACCGGCCCTACAGACATGATAAACAGCGTAACCCTTACACTGCCCCTACAGACATGATAAACGGCGTAACCCTTACACTGCCCCTACAGACATAATAAACAGCGTAACCCTTACACTGCCCCTACAGACATGATAAACAGCATAACCCTTACACTGGCCCTACAGACATGATAAACATTGTAACCCTTACACTGGCCCTACAGACATGATAAACAGCATAACCCTTACACTGGCCCTACAGACATGATAAACAGTGTAACCCTTACACTGGCCCTACAGACATGATAAACAGCGTAACCCTTACACTGGCCCTACATACATGATAACCCACCTGTACAAAAGAGCATCTGATGCCATCACATTGCACGATTTGTTCAGTTTCAACGAAGTTGGCAACCTGGCCTTCCGTATCTACTCCTCGAACGTAGAACCTGGTGCCAGCCCGATATATACACCTGCGGGAGATGATGATGTAGTCGAAGTTTTTGTTGTTGATGCTGGTGCTGTTAATGCTGATGACTGGCAGGTTCAGGAAACATGGCTCACATACTTGGGCTACATGTTTAATGTGTTGACGGAGGTGGGCTATTTTAAGTGTACTGTGTGTACTGTGTATACTGATGAGGTCCAGTCTGAGCATACTGTGTTAGTGTTAGTGTTCTCTGTGTACTAAAGATGCCTGCTGTGAATGTAAAGTGTGTACTAATGATGTCTGGTGTATGTACTGTGTGTACTGATAATGTCCGGAGTGTGTGTGCTGTGTGTACTGATGATGTCCAAAGTGTGTACTGTGTGTACTGACGATGTCTGGAGTGTGTGTGCTGTGTGTACTGATGATGTCTGGTGTAAGTGTACTGTGTGTACTGAAAATATCTGGTGTGTGTACTGAAGATATCTGGTGTGTGTACTGAAGATATCTGGTGAGTGTACTGAAGATGTCTTGTGTGTGTACTGTGTGGACTAATGATGTCTGGTGTATGTACTCTGTGTACTGATGATGTCCAGTGTATGTGCACCATCTGTACAAATGATGTCCCATGTGTTTACTCTGTGCACGAATGATGTACAGTGTAAGTGTACTGTGTGTACTGATGATGTCTGGTGTGTGTACTGTGTGTACTGATGATGTCTGGTGTGTGTACTGTGTGTACTGATGATGTCTGGTGTGTGTACTGTGTGTACTGATGATGTCTGGTGTGTGTACTGTGTGTACTGATGATGTCTGGTGTGTGAACTGTGTGTACTAATGATGTCCGGTGTATGTACTGTGTGTACTGATGATGTCTGGTGTGTGTACTGTGTGTACTGTTAAGGATACAGCCGTGCACCATGGGGAGGCAGTACTGCCCCAGCTCTGGTTGCTGTGCCAACTCTCGCAGGATGTGGCCATTCCACACAAACCTCTGGTCAGCCTGCAAAAACAAAACAATTCGTAACAGCTGGCATTGACTCTTGAAATCGCCGATACAGAGGACCACGATTTACATAAAACACAAAATTTAGAAATCTTAAATGTTTTTCTCTCAAATTGGACAAATGTTCTTTAGTTTATTGATACATTTAAGTTTGTAAGTATTCTGAACCATGTAGATTTCAGCAGCTGTAGATTTAAGGACCTCAACACAGATTTAGAACAGCTGTAGATTTAAGGACCTCAACACAGACTTACAACAGCTGTAGAGGTAAAGACCTTAACATAGACTTACAACAGCTGTAGGGGTAGAGACCTTAACATAGACTTACAACAGCTGTAGGGGTAGAGACCTTAACATAGACTTACAACAGCTGTACGGGTGGAGACCTTAACATAGACTTACAACAGCTGTAGAGGTAAAGACCTTAACATAGCCTTACAACAGCTGTAGAGGTAAAGACCTTAACATAGACTTACAACAGCTGTAGGGGTAGAGACCTTAACATAGACTTACAACAGCTGTAGAGGTAAAGACCTTAACATAGACTTACAACAGCTGTAGGGGTAGAGACCTTAACATAGCCTTACAACAGCTGTACGGGTAGAGACCTTAACATAGCCTTACAACAGCTGTAGAGGTAAAGACCTTAACATAGACTTACAACAGCTGTAGGGGTAGAGACCTTAACATAGACTTACAACAGCTGTACGGGTAGAGACCTTAACATAGACTTACAACAGCTGTAGGGGTAAAGACCTTAATATAGATTTACAACAGCTGTGGTCAACTAATTACTTGTAAGGGAAGTTTTCAGGCGGTGCACCACTCTTATCTACTGCACTATGCACCTGTATAGTGGATTCCACTGGAAATGGTCTAGCTTGTCTGTTATTCCAAGTGGCATGGAGTCAAGGTGGACTGATGCTACAAAATAGTATTGAACTTAAGGCTTTAGTGGTATATGACTTGAGGTGTACAGGCATCAAGGCTAAGTGGTGTATGACTCGAGGTGTACAGGCATCAAGGCTAAGTGGTGTATGACTTGAGGTGTACAGGCATCAAGGCTAAGTGGTGTATGACTTGAGGTGTACAGGAATCAAGGCTAAGTGGTGTATGACTCGAGGTGTACAGGCATCAAGGCTAAGTGGTGTATGACTCGAGGTGTACAGGCATCAAGGCTAAGTGGTGTATGACTCGAGGTGTACAGGCATCAAGGCTAAGTGGTGTATGACTTGAGGTGTACAGGCATCAAGGCTAAGTGGTGTATGACTTGAGGTGTACAGGCATCAAGGCTAAGTGGTGTATGACTTGAGGTGTACAGGAATCAAGGCTAAATGGTGTATGACTCGAGGTGTACAGGCATCAAGGCTAAGTGGTGTATGACTTGAGGTGTACAGGAATCAAGGCTAAATGGTGTATGACTCGAGGTGTACAGGCATCAAGGCTAAATGGTGTATGACTCGAGGTGTACAGGCATCAAGGCTAAGTGGTGTATGACTTGAGGTGTACAGGAATCAAGGCTAAGTGGTGTATGACTTGAGGTGTACAGGCATCAAGGCTAAGTGGTGTATGACTTGAGGTGTACAGGCATCAAGGCTAAGTGGTGTATGACTTGAGGTGTACAGGCATCAAGGCTAAGTGGTGTATGACTTGAGGTGTACAGGCATCAAGGCTAAGTGGTGTATGACTCGAGGTGTACAGGCATCAAGGCTAAGTGGTGTATGATTCGAGGTGTACAGGCATCAAGGCTAAGTGGTGTTACTCGAGACGTACAGGCATCAAGGCTAAGTGGTGTATGACTTGAGGTGTACAGGAATCAAGGCTAAATGGTGTATGACTCGAGGTGTACAGGCATCAAGGCTAAGTGGTGTATGACTTGAGGTGTACAGGCATCAAGGCTAAGTGGTGTATGACTTGAGGTGTACAGGCATCAAGGCTAAATGGTGTATGACTCGAGGTGTACAGGCATCAAGGCTAAGTGGTGTATGACTTGAGGTGTACAGGAATCAAGGCTAAGTGGTGTATGACTTGAGGGTGTACAGGAATCAAGGCTAAATGGTGTATGACTCGAGGTATACAGGCATCAAGGCTAAGTGGTGTATGACTTGGAGGTGTACAGGCATTAAGGCTAAGTGGTGTATGACTTGAGGTGTACAGGCATCAAGGCTAAATGGTGTATGACTTCGAGGTGTACAGGCATCAAGGCTAAGTGGTGTATGACTTGAGGTGTACAGGCATCAAGGCTAAATGGTGTATGACTCGAGGTGTACAGGCATCAAGGCTAAATGGTGTATGACTCGAGGTGTACAGGCATCAAATCTAAGTGGTGTATGACTTGAGGTGTACAGGAATCAAGGTTAAGTGGTGTATGACTCGAGGTGTACAGGCATCAAGGCTAAGTGGTGTATGACTTGAGGTGTACAGGCATCAAGGCTAAGTGGTGTATGACTTGAGGTGTACAGGCATCAAGGCTAAGTGGTGTATGACTTGAGGTGTACAGGCATCAAGGCTAAGTGGTGTATGATTCGAGGTGTACAGGCATCAAGGCTAAGTGGTGTATGATTCGAGGTGTACAGGCATCAAGGCTAAGTGGTGTTTTTCGAGATGTACAGGCATCAAGGCTAAGTGGTGTATGACTTGAGGTGTACAGGAAGCAAGGCTAAATGGTGTATGACTCGAGGTGTACAGGCATCAAGGCTAAGTGGTGTATGACTTGAGGTGTACAGGCATCAAGGCTAAGTGGTGTATGACTCGAGGTGTACAGGCATCAAGGCTAAGTGGTGTATGACTTGAGGTGTACAGGAATCAAGGCTAAGTGGTGTATGACTTGAGGTGTACAGGAATCAAGGCTAAATGGTGTATGACTCGAGGTGTACAGGCATCAAGGCTAAGTGGTGTATGACTTGAGGTGTACAGGCATCAAGGCTAAGTGGTGTATGACTTGAGGTGTACAGGCATCAAGGCTAAGTGGTGTATGACTTGAGGTGTACAGGCATCAAGGCTAAGTGGTGTATGATTCGAGGTGTACAGGCATCAAGGCTAAGTGGTGTTACTCGAGACGTACAGGCATCAAGGCTAAGTGGTGTATGACTTGAGGTGTACATGCATCAAGGCTAAGTGGTGTATGACTTCGAGGGCGTACCGCATCAAGGGTAAGTGGTGTATGACTTGAGGTGTACAGGCATCAAGGCTAAGTGGTGTATGATTCAAGGTGTACAGGCATCAAGGCTAAGTGGTGTATGACTTCGAGGTGTACAGGCATCAAGGCTAAGTGGTGTATGACTCGAGGTGTACAGGCATCAAGGCTAAGTGGTGTATGACTTCGAGGTGTACAGGCATCAAGGCTAAGCGGTGTATGACTCGAGGTGTACAGGCATCAAGGCTAAGTGGTGTTACTCGAGACGTACAGGCATCAAGGCTAAGTGGTGTATGATTCGAGGTGTACAGGCATCAAGGCTAAGTGGTGTTACTCGAGACGTACAGGCATCAAGGCTAAGTGGTATATTACTCGAGGTGTACAGGCATCAAGGCTAAGTGGTGTATGACTCGAGGTGTACAGGCATCAAGGGTAAGTGGTGTATGACTCGAGGATGTACAGGCATCAAGGCTAAGTGGTGTATGACTCGAGGTGTACAGGCATCAAGGCTAAGTGGTGTATGACTCGAGGTGTACAGGCATCAAGGCTAAGTGGTGTATGACTCGAGGGTGTACAGGCATCAAGGCTAAGTGGTGTATGACTCGAGGGTGTACAGGCATCAAGGCTAAGTGGTGTATGACTTGAGGTGTACAGGCATCAAGGCTAAGTGGTGTATGACTTGGGGTGTACAGGCATCAAGGCTAAGTGGTGTATGACTCGAGGTGTACAGGCATCAAGGCTAAGTGGTGTATGACTCGAGGTGTACAGGCATCAAGGCTAAGTGGTGTATGACTTGAGGGTGTACAGGCATCAAGGCTAAGTGGTGTATGACTTGAGGTGTACAGGAATCAAGGCTAAATGGTGTATGATTCGAGGTGTACAGGCATCAAGGCTAAGTGGTGTATGACTTGAGGTGTACAGGAATCAAGGCTAAATGGTGTATGACTTCGAGGTGTACAGGCATCAAGACTAAATGGTGTATGACTTCGAGAGGTGTACAGGCATCAAGGCTAAGTGGTGTATGACTTGAGGGTGTACAGGAATCAAGGTTAAGTGGTGTATGACTCGAGGTGTACAGGCATCAAGGCTAAGTGGTGTATGACTTGAGGTGTACAGGCATCAAGGCTAAGTGGTGTATGACTTGAGGTGTACAGGCATCAAGGCTAAGTGGTGTATGACTTGAGGTGTACAGGCATCAAGGCTAAGTGGTGTATGATTCGAGGTGTACAGGCATCAAGGCTAAAGTGGTGTTACTCGAGGGTGTACAGGCATCAAGGCTTAAGTGGGTGTATGATTCGAGGTGTACAGGCATCAAGGCTGCGTGGTGTTACTCGAGGCGTACAGGCATCAAGGTTAAGTGGTGTATGATCTCGAGGTGTACAGGCATCAAGGCTAACGTGGTGTTACTCGAGGGCGTACAGGCATCAAGGTTAAGTGGTGTATGACTTGAGGTGTACAGGAATCAAGGCTAAATGGTGTATGACTCGAGGTGTACAGGCATCAAGGCTAAGTGGTGTATGACTTGAGGTGTACAGGCATCAAGGCTAAGTGGTGTATGACTTGAGGTGTACAGGCATCAAGGCTAAATGGTGTATGACTCGAGGTGTACAGGCATCAAGGCTAAGTGGTGTATGACTTGAGGTGTACAGGAATCAAGGCTAAGTGGTGTATGACTTGAGGTGTACAGGAATCAAGGCTAAATGGTGTATGACTTGAGGTGTACAGGCATCAAGGCTAAGTGGTGTATGACTTGAGGTGTACAGGCATCAAGGCTAAGTGGTGTATGACTTCGAGGTGTACAGGCATCAAGGCTAAGTGGTGTATGACTTGAGGTGTACAGGCATCAAGGCTAAGTGGTGTATGACTTGAGGTGTACAGGCATCAAGGCTAAGTGGTGTATGATTCGAGGTGTACAGGCATCAAGGCTAAGTGGTGTTACTCGAGACGTACAGGCATCAAGGCTTAGGGGTGTATGACTTGAGGTGTACATGCATCAAGGCTAAGTGGTGTATGACTCGAGACGTACACGCATCAAGGGTAAGTGGTGTATGACTCGAGGTGTACAGGCATCAAGGCTAAGTGGTGTATGATTCGAGGTGTACAGGCATCAAGGCTAAGTGGTGTATGACTCGAGGTGTACAGGCATCAAGGCTAAGTGGTGTATGACTCGAGGTGTACAGGCATCAAGGCTAAGTGGTGTATGACTCGAGGTGTACAGGCATCAAGGCTAAGTGGTGTATGACTCGAGGTGTACAGGCATCAAGGCTAAGTGGTGTTACTCGAGACGTACAGGCATCAAGGCTAAGTGGTGTATGATTCGAGGTGTACAGGCATCAAGGCTAAATGGTGTTACTCGAGACGTACAGGCATCAAGGCTAAGTGGTATATGACTCGTGGTGTACAGGCATCAAGGAGAATGTGATTACCCTCTCATGCAGGGCAAGTGACGAGAAGTCGGAGCTGGTGTTCTGTAGACGCTGCAGTGAGTGTGTCAGGTCGAAGGTGTTGGAGAAGTAGAAGGCATCTGTCTTCAGGATCAGGTCCACCATGGACAAGTAGCTCCGGTTGTAGGAGGCCTGCACACGGAAGGACGGCAAAATAATACAGCTTTCATCAACCTTCTCAAGTCTGCTGTCGACAATATAAAGTTAACTGTGCTTTACTAAGACACAAGCACTACAAATACACAATTGTTTAATGTAAAGTGGTTTAATGTAATGTTTGGTATATTTGGGATGACACTTTCTCTGTCCAGTACAGATTCTAGTACTTGTTATGAGGTTGAGTCCCATCAGGAATTCAAATCTACACTCTCAGAGACATGCACCTAATCACCAGCACATGAAGTCAGCCATTTAACCAAACCAGCCATGCAGGTTCCACAAGAATGGAAGTGGGACGACTGGTTGTCTAGATCACAAATTTTGTGTACCCCTCTGACAAGTGCAAATTAGCACGGATCCCACAGCCAAAAGCTATGAATACACAATGCCAATGGGCATACAAGCATTACTGATTTCCATTCCATGATTCTTAATAGTTAAAGCTGCAGAGACTAGTCCAGATTTCTCACTCCTATTTCAATTTCATGATTCTTAATAGTTAAAGTTGCAGAGACTAGCCCAGATTTCTCACTCCTAGCCTGCTGAAACTAGTCTAGATTTCTCACTAGTCTGCACAGATAGTCCAGATTTCTCACTACTAGTCCTCAGAACTAGACCAGATTTCTCACTACTAGTCTGCAGAACTAGACAAGATTTCCCACTACTAGTCTGCAGAGATAGTTCATATTTCTCACTACTAGTCCGCAGCACTAGCCCAAACTTCTAAGTACTAGCTTGTAGTGCTGTCTGACCTGTTGCTCTGTGAGATGCAGCATGGTTCTCTTGTAGGAATGGGTTTCTGTGTCGGTCAGCTGCCATATCGTGTGCCCGTTGATCTCACCAACCTTCTCACGCTTCGTCATCACAATCAGGTATGGACCTGCAACAGTAACAACACACACACCATAACATTTTCTTTCAATTGTTATCAGAGTGTGTTTTTATTAATTTGTAATATCAAATAGATTAAGTGATAATTATTATGGGTCACAATGTTTAAAGTGTTGAGTGTGGGTCGCATCTCGCATCATTATATATGTTCAATGGCAATAGTATTTGTAGCGGCATGCCTTTTTGATAGAGCTTCAGAGTTGCCCCCCCCCCTGGCTGGCTTGTTTATTTTGTTTTGACTTCCTGTTTTCATCATGCCATGTGTTCCACATGATTCCATAATGTTCTGAGAGAATAATGATGGAGCCTATCATTGCTAGAATGCTCGAGAACTGTGTAAGAGCTATATAGAGGCTGGTTGTTGAGTTGTGCGGCATGGGACTTTCACATGACTGGATTTATATACATCTGTCTGCCATCATTTAGCTGATCAACGTTTCAAGACTGACCGTGCTTGTCTATTCAAGTGCTGTCATTGTAAACAACCTTCAGTCAGTATTTCTCTTCTCACTGTAAATGTCAAGACTCTGGTGAGTTAATATTTTATACTTGTGGCCCAACATTTTAGATTTGTGACTCAATTGCATTGTACTAGAAATCTGTATTGTCATTCATTGTCGCTTGCTCATTGTTTGTTCAATATATTATTGAATATATTAGACTTGTCTGTGTTCTATTTTGCTGGTTCAAAGGGAACTCTTAAACCTTTTGTCACAGCAAATTTTTAACCATAACACAATCTCACACAAGCAGACACTTTCTCTCAGGCCAACACAGCTACGAGCATTAATAAAACAAAGTGTACACTGGACATTGTGGATATCCATGTATTCAATGTACATATCAAGTAATAGTTCTCTTCAGAATACTACCAGAATAACACTGTATATACTGAACTGCAAAAGTAACGCCACACCTATAGAGGTTTCTTAAAGCACACACTTTAATTTGCTCTAATTAACAATCAAACTGGAGGATTAAGTTTAAACTTGACACATTTAGAGTTCACACAAACAAAATCACCAAAACTGGTACCATTAGGATACCTCAAAGTCAGTATAGTGTGTGCCCTGCATGGGCATTGATGACGATGTTGCATCATCTGTACATGGACTGAATTAACCGGTTGATGAAGGCCATAGGGACTTGGGTAAATACTGTGCGAAATGCCTGATAAAGTCCAGTCGCAGTTGTTGTTCCTGGTTGGAGGTCATTCTGTCTTCTTTGAATCTTGTCCCAAATTTGTTCTATTGGATATAATCCGGACTGTGCGCAGGCTGTTGTAGGGATTGGATGCCATGTTGTCTTAGGAAGTCCAATGTTGCTCTGGCAGTGTGGGCATAAGCGTTGCCTTGCTGGAAAATGTGATTTCCATTGGTACAACGTGGTACAACGTGGGGTTTTTTTACTTGGTCAATACAGCAAGCAGTTGTTACGCTATTTCCTCTTCATGGACCGAGATCCTGGAATACCACGGGGCCAACTCTCTGGTTCAGACTGATTGCACCCCACACCATGATGAATGGACCAAGCCACGAGTCTCTTTCAACAATACATTCATTGGAAAACTGTTCCCCACAACTTCGCCATATCTCTCACTCTGCCATCGGCTGTCAAAACACAATATCAGACAAAAAAGAAACAGTTCTCCATTGTGTATAACGCCAATTTCAATGCTGAGTTGTCCACTGCAGTCAGTTTGAGCAGTGACGAACGGTGAGGACAGGACCATGATAACATCTGTGACAGCTGAGGTTTCTTACGCACAAACATCGATGCACTGTATCGGCACTAATGGGTCTGTTGTGTGTCCTAATTGTATGGCGTGATGTTTCCGTCGCTCTGGGGAAGTAATCCTGCAGATGGTTGCGAACAATCTGTCGGTCTTGTCGGTGAAGTCACTGAAGGTAGCCCACTGCATGGACAGTCTTGGATGCTGTTAGTGGCCTGATACCGCTCCTGCAGTCGGTCATTTGTCTGACATGAACATAAAAATGACTCCGTGCAGTCTGGCCAACTTGCAGTCCTCCCAAGTCTCGGTTCCTCTAATCTCTTGTAAGTCGATTTCAGGCGAGTTTGGGACTCGCTATCATTGTTAGAATTGTCATGTGCATTTTCATTTTCACAAACGTCATACGGAAACTTTTACCACGTCTGCTTTTTTAGGTGAATGTGATCGATATGCTTTTTCATTAGAAAACACACTGACGTTGGTAATAACTGTCAATTTGGATTGAAAAAACATGTTAACAAAAGGGTACAATCATAATTAAAACACCACCTTGTAAGAACAAAATTTTCTATTTGGTTTTCAAAGGTGATGTTTCTTTTGTGGTTCAGTATATATTCAACAGACGTCCACTTCATTGCCAACATACCTAATAGTTTATTGCGAGGAAAATTCTATCCTTTGTAGGAAATGCAACTGCAACCCATAACATTGTCAACAACATGGGGCAGTGAAAGTGATTAAGATGTCATATTTTCAGAATTCTTGCACAGAGGCAAACTTGGTTAAAGGTCATAGCCAGTATCAGAGTATGAAATAAGGCCTGTCTGCTATATTTCTGATGAACAGTCTACATTTGCAGCTAGCCAGCCCAATGGTCTGGTAAAAAATGTAGATAATATGTTCAACACATCGGAGTCATTTTCTTTGTTTGGTCTGGTTCAATCCACTTTGAGCTGGAAACATCTTGAAGTTACCAACCCTGATGACTGGCTAGGGTTTTGACTTATTCATACATTGCCAGTATACACTAGGACTGATGGTGCATGAATCTAATATCACTAGACAGTTGGCTGCATTAAAGAAAGAATACATGTATACATATTGCCCACTATTTAGTCCTGGACCCTTTAGATTAGACCATCACATAATCATGTCACGTCCAGTTCTGACTTTCTGATGTCACGTCCAGTTCTGACTTTCTGATGTCACGTCCAGTTCTGACTTTCTGACTTTCTGATGTCACGTCCAGTTCTGACTTTCTGACACATCCAGTTCTGACTCTCTGATGTCATGTCCTGTTCTGACTTTCTGATGTCTGACTTTCTGATGTCACGTCCTGTTCTGACTTTCTGATGTCACTTCCAGTTCTGACTTTCTGACACGTCCAGTTCTGGCTTTCTGATGCAATAACTTCAGAGACATTCACTGAGTTGCTTCTCTCAAGCTGACATAGCATAACACCCACTTGTCACTGGAGTGTCTGGCATTGGTGTGAACATCATAAGGTTAGATGGTGATGATTCTGCCAATGACCTAGTGCTTCTGGAAGATTCAGTGTTCATGCCTTGAAAAGCTTTCCAAAGCATTCTTTAGCCAAATTACTGCAAGAGATGCATCTATTACCAGTGTATGAACTAAGTCAAAAACCCAGCCAGACTTCAGGGTTGGTAACTTCAAAATGTTACCTGCCCAAAATGGATTTAATCAGACCAGACAATCCAAGGAAAAAAGATTAATTTTTAGTTACAATGAATAATTTAATATCAACACAGTGCTTTGAGCTTGCGATACGATAGTTCAGTGTTTGAAGTAATTGTCAAGTTCAAATGTAACACTCAATTTGAAAAACAGATTTTAAAATATGGTGAATTTACTCAGATGTATGGTACATGTTATCTAAACTTTTTACCAGACCATCACACTGGCCAGCTGTAAATTTAGACCGTCCGTCAAGAATCTAGCCCTTCTCTGACGGTCATACGGGCCTTATTTCTTACACTGCTATTACTAGCATGTAGGATGTGGGTCAGTGCTCCATCCTCCACCTGCAGCAGACACAAGTCACAAAAGACCGTAAATGTTCAGACTATTTTAACTTGTTTACATCTGTAGACTTATACTGCCTCACACTATGTTATTTCTTTTATTCTGGGGTGGAAATGACATGAAACCAAAGTTTTCAGCCTTATCTAACAGAAAGCATCTTGCTCTGGTTGACCATGACATGATTCTCTTCACTTGGAGCCAGAACCACCCCCTAATCTGCACAGTGGGTTGAGTCAGGCAGGAATCCATAGAATGACATAGGATAAGTATCATGAATATACAATTTATAGTAAAATATTTCAATTTTAATCCTATCTCACATTATGCACTTATCTCTTGGTTGGACGGCAGGCAGCAGATTACCCTGGTTTGTAGGAAGACGACAACAGCTGGAGACATAGTTCAGAAGGAAGTTGGCCTCAATTGCTGTAACGATTTTTAAATCGTAGGCATAACTTGTGCTTCTAAAAACCCCATCACAATACTTTACACAAACTCCCAGGGACTGGATGGCCCGAGTTTTCGACAGAATCATTCGTCAAAGAACGAAGTAAGAATCGGGCCTTCCTGCTTCGCCATAACTTCCAACATGTCCCAGAATCCAAGAACCTTTCAGTCATCAGTCCCAGTTTGCGAGTTCTTCAAAACTGTTCCCTACAGACACTTCTAATGATGTGAGGCGGGAGAGTTACCTATCTGTCAATGACCTTGTTTATCCCTCTGTAAGCTGGTGGCCATTAAGAGCCAGAAGATGAATACTTTCAATTTTCAAAGAGGATTCAGAATTCATACACCACTAACATGATTGCTCAAGAGGGTAAGCGAGTATGTGTGTATCATTGTTGTAACAGGCTGGCCTCTGTAGTCAATACACGACTTCCTACATGGGTGCACTTCAACACCTCAGCAGCACAGTGGAGTGAGTCCATCCTTGTGAATAAATAAAACAAATCAATTCCAAATTAACATAACTTATTCTGTAATTTACAAGAGAATATCCAATCCTGCAACTGTTTGGAGAGTCACTCCAGCTGCATTGTCCAGCAGTGAATACTTGCTGCACCAGAACAGATGAAGTCCCTGGACGTTGGACATGTCTCAGAGATAATGGGCTGAAAAGGTTATTTCAGATTCCTCAACACCCTTCCTGGACGTTGGACATGTCTCAGAGATAATGGGCTGAAAAGGCTATTTCAGATTCCTCAACACCCTTCCTGGACGTTGGACATGTCTCAGAGATAATGGGCTGAAAAGGATATTTCAGATTCCTCAACACTCTTCCTGGACGTTGGACATGTCTCAGAGATAATGGGCTGAAAAGGATATTTCAGATTCCTCAACACTCTTCCTGGATGTTGGACATGTCCAGAGATAATGGGCAGAGATAATGGGCTGAAAAGGCTATTTCAGATTCCTCAACACCCTTCCTGGATGTTGGATATGTCTCAGAGATAATGGGCTGAAAAGGCTATTTCAGATTCCTCAACACTCTTCCTGGATGTTGGACATGTCTCTGAGATAATGGGCTGAAAAGACTATTTCAGATTCCTCAACACCCTTCCTTGATGTTGGACATGTCTCAGAGATAATGGGCTGAAAAGACTATTTCAGATTTCTCAACACCCTTCCTTGATGTTGGACATGTCTCAGAGATAATGGGCTGAAAAGGCTATTTCAGATTCCTCAACACCCTTCCTGGATGTTGGACATGTCTCAGAGATAATGGGCTGAAAAGGATATTTCAGATTCCTCAACACCCTTCCTGGATGTTGGACATGTCTCAGAGATAATGGGCTGAAAAGGATATTTCAGATTCCTCAACACCCTTCCTGGATGTTGGACATGTCTCAGAGATAATGGGCTGAGAAGGATATTTCAGATTCCTCAACACCCTTCCTGGATGTTGGACATGTCTCAGAGATAATGGGCTGAAAAGGCTATTTCAGATTCCTCAACACCCTTCCTGGATGTTGGACATGTCTCAGAGATAATGGGCTGAAAAGGCTATTTCAGATTCCTCAACACCCTTCCTGGATGTTGGACATGTCTCAGAGATAATGGGCTGAAAAGGATATTTCAGATTCCTCAACACCCTTCCTGGATGTTGGACACGTCTCAGAGATAATGGGCTGAAAAGGCTATTTCAGATTCCTCAACACTCTTCCTGGATGTTGGACATGTCTCAGAGATAATGGGCTGAAAAGGCTATTTCAGATTCCTCAACACTCTTCCTGGATGTTGGACATGTCTCAGAGATAATGGGCTGAAAAGGCTATTTCAGATTCCTCAACACCCTTCCTGGATGTTGGACACGTCTCAGAGATAATGGGCTGAAAAGGATATTTCAGATTCCTCAACACCCTTCCTGGATGTTGGACATGTCTCAGAGATAATGGGCTGAAAAGGCTATTTCAGATTCCTCAACACTCTTCCTGGATGTTGGACATGTCTCAGAGATAATGGGCTGAAAAGGATATTTCAGATTCCTCAACACCCTTCCTGGATGTTGGACACGTCTCAGAGATAATGGGCTGAAAAGGCTATTTCAGATTCCTCAACACTCTTCCTGGATGTTGGACATGTCTCAGAGATAATGGGCTGAAAAGGCTATTTCAGATTCCTCAACACTCTTCCTGGATGTTGGACATGTCTCAGAGATAATGGGCTGAAAAGGCTATTTCAGATTCCTCAACACTCTTCCTGGATGTTGGACATGTCTCAGAGATAATGGGCTGAAAAGGATATTTCAGATTCCTCAACACTCTTCCTGGATGTTGGACATGTCTCAGAGATAATGGGCTGAAAAGGCTATTTCAGATTCCTCAACACCCTTCCTGGACGTTGGACATGTCCCAGAGATAATGGGCTGAAAAGGCTATTTCAGATTTCTCAACACCCTTCCTGGATGTTGGACATGTCTCAGAGATAATGGGCTGAAAAGGCTATTTCAGATTCCTCAACACCCTTCCTGGATGTTGGACATGTCTCAGAGATAATGGGCTGAAAAGACTATTTCAGATTCCTCAACACCCTTCCTTGATGTTGGACATGTCTCAGAGATAATGGGCTGAAAAGACTATTTCAGATTCCTCAACACCCTTCCTGGATGTTGGACATGTCTCAGAGATAATGGGCTGAAAGACTATTTCAGATTCCTCAACACCCTTCCTGGATGTTGGACATGTCTCAGAGATAATGGGCTGAAAAGACTATTTCAGATTCCTCAACACCCTTCCTGGATGTTGGACATGTCTCAGAGATAATGGGCTGAAAAGACTATTTCAGATTCCTCAACACCCTTCCTGGATGTTGGACATGTCTCAGAGATAATGGGCTGAAAAGACTATTTCAGATTCCTCAACACCCTTCCTGGATGTTGGACATGTCTCAGAGATAATGGGCTGAAAAGACTATTTCAGATTCCTCAACACCCTTCCTGGATGTTGGACATGTCTCAGAGATAATGGGCTGAAAAGACTATTTCAGATTCCTCAACACCCTTCCTTGACGAATGTCAAGAAGCAGTGGCTGTGAGGCACCATGGCCGAGGCAGCTGTCCTCGTCTCAGGAAGTTTGGAAGCAAAACCCAGAGGAAGTAGACCAGCAAATGTATAACACCTTAAAGGAGAATACTAGAAAACTGCAATAAATAACTGGGTGAAAGTTAAAGTCATCAGAAACAAGTACCCCAATTGTTAAAGCCAAAGTATTTTTATCTATACTTTAATCGTGTCGTCTAGTTTACTGTACCAGCGGAAGGTGGGGGAGGGTGGGTTCCCTATGATTTAACCCAGCTTCCAGCTGTCCACTGTTCAACACTATTTAACTGTTAATTGTTGGCTTCTATTCAGCACTAATTAACTGTTAAGTGCTGGCTTCCATCTGGGCTTTGCCAATCACACATCAACGCCAGTTAACTGTTGGCTTCCATTGTTTAGCCTGCATCTTTGTTGTCTTATGACTGTTGTTGTTCTTACAACAATATCTGCTCTCTGCCCCCTACCATTCATTCACCTGATGAAGGAGTAAGGATAAACTCTGAAACGTTGTGTTGCTCATAATAAGGAAGTTGACATCCATAAAAACTGTCTTCCTTATATGTATCACTTCTGAATGCCATTCAAAGACCTATAAATAAAGTGTCACCACGAGTCGCACGAGACGAATACATGTTCAGCATGTGGTAATAAAAGTGATGTGGAGCGCCTCATATCCGATCAGCAAGATCATGTATGTATTGCATTGAATTTTAACCAAGATTACTAATGTAGTAGTCCAATAAAACAGTACTTCCCATGCATAATACATTATTAAGGTACCATTATGCCACTTTCGGGAAAGATACATTCATGTTTACATTGCGGTTCAAAACAGTTTGCATTGAGGACATGTAACAGACAAGAAGGTTGAAAGTGCCTCAGTTTCATTTGATTCTAAAATTCTTCTGCTTCATATTCACAGAAAGTTTCTCTTGCAAGATCTAAAATCAGCACAAACTGATACGGTCTAACATGCATGTCAAAAATTACATCAGGAACATCTTTCTGCTTCAGAATCCATGGACACTGTCAAGTTGTCCAGTTAAATCATAGAGGAAGCCATCGGCAATAGGCACATATAAAGCCATGTCACGTGATACCTGATCATTAACTGTCAGGTGTTTAGTTAGGAGTCACATGGTTGATGAGAGCAAGATGCATGTTTTGCATGAGCTTACAGTGACTGCCTACATCAACAGATGGATACTGTACAACATAATCCCAACCTACCTGCCACAAGTCGGATGATGCCCACGACTCCATAGATAAGTTTGGTGATAGCAGCAGCAGGAATCTGGCCCTGGTTCACTGGAAGACAGAACACACTCCGTTACACATCCATAAACCAGGACCTTGAGTACTGACTGGCCTGATGTAGGTGTGACCTGGTATAGTGACTGGCCTGATGTAGGTGTGACCTGGTGTAGTGACTGGCCTGATGTAGGTGTGACCCAGTGTAGTGACTGGCCTGATGTAGGTGTGACCTGGTGTAGTGACTGGCCTGATGTAGGTGTGACCTGGTGTAGGTGTGACCCTGGCCTGATGTAGGTGTGACCTGGTGTAGTGACTGGCCTGATGTAGGTGTGACCTGGTGTAGTGACTGGCCTGATGTAGGTGTGACCTGGTGTAGTGACTGGCCTGATGTAGGTGTGACCTGGTGAGTACTGACTGGCCTGATGTAGGTGTGACCTGGTGTAGTGACTGGCCTGATGTAGGTGTGACCTGGTGTAGTGACTGGCCTGATGTAGGTGTGACCTGGTGTAGTGACTGGCCTGATGTAGGTGTGACCTTGAGTACTGACTGGCCTGATGTAGGTGTGACCTGGTGTAGTGACTGGTCTGATGTAGGTGTGACCTTGAGTACTGACTGGCGTGATGTAGGTGTGACCTGGTGTAGTGACTGGCCTGATGTAGGTGTGACCTGGTGTAGTGACTGGCCTGATGTAGGTGTGACCTGGTGTAGTGACTGGCCTGATGTAGGTGTGACCTTGAGTACTGACTGGCCTGATGTAGGTGTGACCTGGTGTAGTGACTGGCCTGATGTAGGTGTGACCTGGTATAGTGGCTGGCCTGATGTAGGTGTGACCCGGTGTAGTGACTGGCCTGATGTAGGTGTGACCTTGAGTACTGACTGGCCTGATGTGGGTAGTGACCTGATGTAGGTGTAGTGACTGGCCTGATGTAGGTGTGACCTGGTGTAGTGACTGGCCTGATGTAGGTGTGACCTGGTGTAGTGGCTGGCCTGATGTAGGTGTGACCTGGTGTAGTGACTGGCCTGATGTAGGTGTGACCTTGAGTACTGACTGGCCTGATGTAGGTGTGACCTGGTGTAGTGACTGGCCTGATGTATGTGTGACCTGGTGTAGGACTGGCCTGAGTGTGGGGTGAGTAGTGACTGGCCTGATGTAGGTGTGACCTGGTGTAGTGACTGGCCTGATGTAGGTGTGACCTTGAGTACTGACTGGCCTGATGTAGGTGTGACCTGGTGTAGTGACTGGCCTGATGTAGGTGTGACCTGGTATAGTGGCTGGCCTGATGTAGGTGTGACCTGGTGTAGTGACTGGCCTGATGTAGGTGTGACCTTGAGTACTGACTGGCCTGATGTAGGTGTGACCTGGTATAGTGACTGGCCTGATGTAGGTGTGACCTGGTGTAGTGACTGGCCTGATGTAGGTGTGACCTGGTGTAGTGGCTGGCCTGATGTAGGTGTGACCTGGTGTAGTGGCTGGCCTGATGTAGGTGTGACCTGGTGTAGTGACTGGCCTGATGTAGGTGTGACCTTGAGTACTGACTGGCCTGGTGTGTGAGGTGTGACCCTGGTGTAGTGACTGGCCTGATGCCTGATGTAGGTGTGACCTGGTGTAGTGGCTGGCCTGATGTAGGTGTGACCTGGTGTAGTGACTGGCCTGATGTAGGTGTGACCTTGAGTACTGACTGGCCTGATGTAGGTGTGACCTGGTGTAGTGGCTGGCCTGATGTAGGTGTGACCTGGTGTAGTGACTGGCCTGATGTAGGTGTGACCTGGTGTAGTGACTGGCCTGATGTAGGTGTGACCTGGTGTAGTGACTGGCCTGATGTAGGTGTGACCTGGTGTAGTGGCTGGCCTGATGTAGGTGTGACCTGGTGTAGTGACTGGCCTGATGTAGGTGTGACCTTGAGTACTGACTGGCCTGATGTAGGTGTGACCTTGAGTAGTGACTGGCCTGATGTAGGTGTGACCTTGAATACTGACTGGCCTGATGTAGGTGTGACCTGGTGTAGTGACTGGCCTGATGTAGGTGTGACCTGGTGTAGTGGCTGGCCTGTTGTAGGTGTGACCTGGTGTAGTGACTGGCCTGATGTACGTGTGACCTGGAGTAGTGACTGGCCTGATGTAGGTGTGACCTGGTGTAGTGGCTGGCCTGATGTAGGTGTGACCTGGTGTAGTGACTGGCCTGATGTAGGTGTGACCTGGTGTAGTGACTGGCCTGATGTAGGTGTGACCTGGTATAGTGACTGGCCTGGTGTAGGTGTGACTTTGAGTACTGACTGGCCTGATGTAGGTGTGACCTTGAGTACTGACTGGCCTGATGTAGGTGTGACCTTGAGTACTGACTGGCCTGATGTAGGTGTGACCTTGAGTGTGACTGGCCTGATGTAGGTGTGACCTGGTGTAGTGGCTGGCGTGATGTAGGTGTGACCTGGTGTAGTGACTGGCCTGATGTAGGTGTGACCTGGTGTAGTGGCTGGCCTGATGTAGGTGTGACCTGGTGTAGTGGCTGGCCTGATGTAGGTGTGACCTGGTGTAGTGGCTGGCGTAATGTAGGTGTGACCTTGTGTACTGACTGGCCTGATGTAGGTGTGACCTGGTGTAGTGGCTGGTGTGATGTAGGTGTGACCTGGTGTAGTGGCTGGCGTGATGTAGGTGTGACCTGGTGTAGTGGCTGGCGTAATGTAGGTGTGACCAGTCACACAATAGACAGAACATCACAGTGCTGGGACTGTCTTTCTCTGCCCTTGATCTATCCCCATGAGTGGCTGGACATGAGTCCACTAGTCACACAATAGACAGAGAAAATCACGGTGCTGAGACCAAGTCTAACTCAGTCAGTCCCCATGAGTAGCTTGACAAGAGACCACCAGTCACACAATAGACAGAGAAAATCACGGTGCTGAGACCAAGTCTAACTCAGTCAGTCCCCATGAGTGGCTGGACATGAGTCCACTAGTCACACAGTAGACAGAGAAAATCAGGGTGCTGAGACCAAGTCTAACTCAGTCAGTCCCCATGAGTGGCTTGACAAGAGACCACCAAGCACACAATAGACAGAGAAAATCAGGGTGCTGAGACCAAGTCTAACTCAGTCAGTCCCCATGAGCGGCTGGACATGAGTCCACTAAGCACACAATAGACAGATGAAATCAGGGTGCTGAGACCAAGTCTAACTCAGTCAGTCCCCATGAGTGGCTTGACAAGAGACCACCAAGCACACAATAGACAGATAAAATCACGGTGCTGAGACCAAGTCTAACTCAGTCAGTCCCCATGAGTGGCTGGACATCACCTTGCAGTGTTATTTCCTGGGACACCCGGTCGATAACCAGCAGCTCATTTGCAGCTGCATTAGTCGGCTCGATGATGAACTTGTCAGATGTAATATGTCTGAAACATTAGGATAGAGAGCTTACTACACACATATATTGGAAATACATGTACAGAGCTATCAGTCAGACTTTCATAACAGTGTCAGGGATAAGGCAGGTAGGTTGTGTTACTTGTGTTATTGTCATCAGCAGTCAATATCTAGGAACAGGACACCTGGGTTGTGTTACTTGTGTTATTGTTATCAGAAGTCAATATCTAGGAACAGGACACCTGGGTTGTGTGACTTGTGTTATTGTCATCAGCAGTCAATATCTAGGAACAGGACACCTGGGTTGTGTTACTTGTGTTATTGTCATCAGAAGTCAATATCTAGGACACCTGGGTTGTGTTACTTGTGTTATTGTCATCAGCAGTCAATATCTAGGAACTGGACACCTGGGCTGTGTTACTTGTGTTATTGTTATCAGCAGTCAATATCTAGGAACAGGACACCTGGGTTGTGTTACTTGTGTTATTGTCATCAGCAGTCAATATCTAGGAACAGGACACCTGGGTTGTGTGACTTGTGTTATTGTCATCAGCAGTCAATATCTAGGAACTGGACACCTGGGTTGTGTTACTTGTGTTATTGTCATCAGCAGTCAATATCTAGGAACAGGACACCTGGGTTGTGTTACTTGTGTTATTGTCATCAGCAGTCAATATCTAGGAACAGGACACCTGGGTTGTGTTACTTGTGTTATTGTCATCAGCAGTCAATATCTAGGAACAGGACACCTGGGTTGTGTGACTTGTGTTATTGTCATCAGCAGTCAATATCTAGGAACAGGACACCTGGGTTGTGTTACTTGTGTTATTGTCATCAGAAGTCAATATCTAGGAACTGGACACCTGGGTTGTGTTACTTGTGTTATTGTCATCAGCAGTCAATATCTAGGAACTGGACACCTGGGTTGTGTTACTTGTGTTATTGTTATCAGCAGTCAATATCTAGGAACAGGACACCTGGGTTGTGTTACTTTTGTTATTGTCATCAGCAGTCAATATCTAGGAACTGGACACCTGGGTTGTGTGATTTGTGTTATTGTCATCAGCAGTCAATATCTAGGAACAGGACACCTGGGTTGTGTTACTTTTGTTATTGTCATCAGCAGTCAATATCTAGGAACAGGACACCTGGGTTGTGTGATTTGTGTTATTGTCATCAGAAGTCAATATCTAGGAACTGGACTGCTAGGTTGTCATATATGATACACAAATTAGTAGTTGCAAATATTTTCCTTGATTGTCTGAGGCCAACAGGTGCATTCTGTCCAACTGACAGACAAGGTAAAATTATTTATTGTTCATCTCTTCACAACATTAGTAAAATCATAAAAAAAATAGCTTTTAGTTGTAAAATCAATTTAGCATTAGCCCATCAGCATTGTGTCAACAATGACACAAGCTTCTAAATTCACCGCATATTTGAGATAATTTTTCTGTGTCATGGCAAACACTGTTTGTGTGAGGAATTATACCTCACCATCATCATTTGACGTCACAGATCAAATTCCATTTTCTTCCATTTATGGAGAAAAAAGTGTTTCTATCAAACATATAAAGTTGTATATTTATCAAGTAGACAAATTCATTTGAATATTGCTATGTGACAGTGTTATTTGTTGTGTAACAATGTTTAAAGTATAGTACATTGTCCATGTGATATTCAGTGAGGGGCAGTGGTGTGCTGTATTTACACAGGGTACGGGAAAGTGTAGAAAGATCTGGAAGGTGCTACAAGGAGCATATCCCAGAATCATCTGCCTTAGTGCGAAATTTTCTAGCATCCTTTGTCTTTGGTGTGAGTCACAAGAAGACCAACATTTTGTGTGATCACTCTATACCCAGGGATACCCTACCATTGCTGTGATCACTCTATACCCAGGGATACCCGACCATTGCTGAGATCACTCTATACCCAGGGATACCCTACCAGAGATACCCTACCATTGCTGAGATCACTCTATACCCAGGGATACCCTACCATTGCTGTGATCACTCTATACCCAGGGATACCCTACCATTGCTGAGATCACTCTATACCCAGGGATACCCTACCATTGCTGTGATCACTCTATACCCAGGGATACCCTACCAGGGATACCCTACCATTACCCAGGGATACCCTACCATTGCTGTGATCACCTATACCCTGGGATACCCCACCATTGCTGAGATCACTCTATACCCAGGGATACCCTACCATTGCTGTGATCACTCTATACCCAGGGATACCCTACCAGGGATACCCTACCATTGCTGAGATCACTCTATACCCAGGGATAACCTGCCATTGCTGAGATCACTCTATACCCAGGGATACCCTACCAGGGATACCCGACCATTGCTGAGATCACTCTATACCCAGGGATACCCTACCATTGCTGAGATCACTCTATACCCAGGGATACCCTACCATTGCTGAGATCATTCAATACCCAGGGATACCCTACCATTGCTGAGATCACTCTATACCCAGGGATACCCTACCATTGCTGAGATCATTCAATACCCAGGGATACCCTACCATTGTTGTGATCACTCTATACCCAGAGATACCCTACCATTGCTGAGATCACTCTATACCCAGGGATACCCTACCATTGCTGTGATCACTCTATACCCAGGGATACCCTACCTAGACATAATTCCAGAAGGTTGGAATATCATTGCTGAGAACTGAATATTACAATTATTGTCTCTATTGCTATGATCACTGCTTGTTTGGGGTGGGTATTGTGGAGAATTTTCATATTGCGATATATTGCGATGCGAAAGCATATATTGCGATATGTATTGCAATATATTGCAAGAAGGATTTTTTTTAACAATAAACTAATTATAATCGAATTAAGGCTTTATTTATAGCTTGATTAAGCTTTAATAAAAAGTTTAAATCATGACAAAAACAAAACATAAATAATATTTGGCACAAATGAAACAAGGAAAAGAATAATTTAACATCAACAGAGTGGTTACTACTCCACTCTCAAAAAAAGCCCTGAGATTTTAGACAGCAACTTGACCTGGTCAGGACATATCAGGGATCATTGGTCATTAATGAGTAAATACTTCAAAAATTCAGATCAAAAACATTGTGAAACACTTGAACCAAAATTAAGAACACAATTTCAAACCGAACCTACCAAACCAGTTAAATGTAAAATCTTTGTAGGGCATTTAGAAGTGGAATGTATAAGAAAAGCAAGATTTATGGATGTCAACTTCATTCAAAATATAGAAGTTGGCATCCATCAATTCTGCTTTTCTTAGTTAAATGTAATTTTCACCACGATCATTCCCACCACCATTGTAGCAGAAACATTTTTCATGTTTTTAATAAGTCAGTTTGGTTTGTTTGAATAGAACTAGTTTATAGTTATTGAACATAAAATGGTGTTAAAGTGTCTTATTGTTTACAAGTATAATATGAATAAAAATATTATATAAGTCATAAAAAGATCACTAAAATATTGAATGTTGGTGGTAGTGTTCTCAAGTTTGTGGTTTTAAGCATCTGTCAATCATGTTGATATTTGGTTGTATTTGTCAAGTATTGCAGATGAATTTCATTCATCCAAAACATTCCTGTTCTGTTTAGGATTCACAAAAAATGCTGGATCAAGAGTATGGTCTCATTCTGGATCATTGTTTATCACCTGACCCTAATTCTATTCCACAAATGGGTAAGGTTTATTTTCATATATAGCTACATTTCCATTTTTATGTATACTTTTGACGTAACCTTTCACGGTTACAATTACTTGTCTAGTTGTATGTAATGTTATTTGCAAACTGTTTGTCTGTTAGGTATAATAATTATGTAATGTTATTTGAGAACTGTTTGTCTGTTAGGTATAATAATTATGTAATGTTATTTGTGAACTTTTTGTCTGTTAGGTATAATAATTATGTAATGTTATTTGTGAACTTTTTGTCTGTTAGGTATTGTCTGTTAGGTATAATAATTATGTAATGTTATTTGTGAACTTTTTGTCTGTTAGGTATAATAATTATGCAATGTTATTTGTGAACTTTTTGTCTGTTAGGTATAATAATTATGTAATGTAATGTTGTCTGTGAACTAATTTTGTAATGTTATTAGGAATAATGTCTGTTAGGTATAATAATTATGTAATGTTATTTGTGAACTTTTTGTCTGTTAGGTATAATAATTATGTAATGTTATTTGTGAACTTTTGTCTGTTAGGTATAATAATTATGAAAATGCTGAACTTTTGTCTGTGAACTTTTGTTTGTTAGGTATAATAATTATGTAATGTTATTTGTGAACTTTTTGTCTGTTAGGTATTGTCTGTCAGGTATAATAATTATGTAATGTTATTTGTGAACTTTTTGTCTGTTAGGTATTGTCTGTTAGGTATAATAATTATGTAATGTTATTTGTGAACTTTTTGTCTGTTAGGTATTAATACTTTTTGTCTGTTAGGTGTAATGTTAGGTATAATAATTATGTAATGTTATTTGTGAACTTTTGTCTGTTAGGTATAATAATTATGTAATGTTATTTGTGAACTTTTGTCTGTTAGGTATAATCTGTATGTAATATTGTTCTGTTATCTGGTATAATAATTATGTAATGTTATTTGTGAACTTTTGTCTGTTAGGTATAATAATTATGTAATGTTATTTGTGAACTTTTTGTCTGTTAGGTATAATAATTATGTAATGTTATTTGTTAGGTATTGTCTGTCAGGTATAATAATTATGTAATGTTATTTGTGAACTTTTTGTCTGTTAGGTATTGTCTGTTAGGTATAATAATTATGTAATGTTATTTGTGAACTTTTTGTCTGTTAGGTATAATAATTATGTAATGTTATTTGTGAATTTTTTGTCTGTTAGGTATAATAATTATGTAATGTTATTGGTGAACTTTTTGTCTGTTAGGTATAATAATTATGTAATGTTATTTGTGAACTGTTTGTCTGTTAGGTATAATAATTATGTCCAGGGCTCCAGATAACTTTTGGGGGTGCGAGTGTACTTACACA